TGCATACATGAAAACATATTTGAGGACAGGGGACCACTCTGTCTCTAATCCCTCTCCATCTTGACAGGCTTACCAAAAAAAAAATAACCTGCCATTAATTCTGTAACCCGCACATTGCAGATATGAATTAATTGTATCAAACCCCCCTCACCATTCCATGCTAAAACCGCAGATGACAAACAAACTTAGCCCTCAGAAAGTTTCTCTCCACTCAGTCGTATGCATTTTTCCATCAATCCCAAAAGCCTACCCTGTTGCATCCCTCCAAAAAAAGTCCCTAATGCAGCCTGCCATTCTCATACTTATGCTGGATTTTCCACATCTGCCACCTTATGTTGTGGGGTTGAAATAATACCCCACCTAACACATTATTTTCATCCTTTTGCCTGTATCTTTGCAAAATCTTGTTGTGGCACAATTAGTGAAATTGCTCTGTACGCACTCAATACTCTTCCTCTTGCTTTTGCGTACTAATACGACTACCCTCATTCGCTGAGTCTGTCCTAAAACGTCCTCCCATCGCATACAACATTTCATGACCCCCACTAGACAGTAATATTGTGCTCCCATTGATTCTATAAAAATTATTTGAATATCTATCTATTCCGGTTGCCCTTGCCAGTACTCTTGTTGAACAAAAGCCTCTAACTCTCCCACCATGCTAATCTCACCTCCCATCCCCATGCCTCCTTCTCCACTCGGACCCTAACCCTCTCCCCCCCACACCTCCTCAATAGCATCGCCCTTCCACTCCCTTACCCCAACTCCTTTGGATCCAGAAATAGCATAATTACTCATGCCTTCCGTAGTATTGTACGTAACTACCCTTATGATATTCGCCCACCCATATCCTCACTTACCTCCCAAGTTTAAATAGTCGAATCCTTCTGCCTTACCCTAAAAACCTCGCAATAACACTTCCGGGAGAAGGTTTATTCCCCACAGCCAGTCTCATTCCGCCCTTACATGTACCACATCTCAAATCAGTCATTATGTAACTCCGCCAACATGTCACATGGTTGACACCCTGTTTACAATCCTGCTGCCCCTCCTTTCTTCATAACACCCATTTAGCTGTTATTCCAATTAATCTTTGCAAACCATATCTCCACCCTGCCTCTTCCCTTCCCTTCCTTTTTATAAAAACCTGCATTATACAGGCTTAGCATGCCTTTCCCCACATTTTTAAGAACACGATCCACTCTCTTAGAATCAAAAAAAGTTTGCCACATTACCCAAATGCCATACTACCTCCTCAATCCTAGAGTCTTCATTTAATTTCCCAAAAAACCGATTGAATCTAACCATACCCCCCCAATCAAGATCTGCCATAAATGCACTATGATCATAAACCACACATCAAAAGTCCTAATCCCAACACATGTACAGCTTCTGTGCTTGATACATCTAATCTCTGCAGCATATCCCCGTCTGACAAAAGGATATCAACCCGCAACCACCCCTCCCCACAACATCCAAACCCCCATGTTTCCAAACATTGTGTAAACATGCCCACCATACACCCCGCACCCTTTGTTCCACATCCCACCCGATAACACAATTCCAATTCCCCCTATGACACTGACCAAAAGTTAATCCACCTTAAATGTTTACATCAAAACGTCCTCACAAAGTTCTTCCTTGTCTCGTGCATTGCCACTCCGCCGGCATATATAATCCTATAAAACAAAACCCTCGTGGTACCACTCTCCTCCACCTTACAACCCTCCTCCCCCTTTCCTCACACCCAAAATTCGCAATGGCGTACCTGGTTTCTTTACAACCCAACAGCAACCCACACCTTTCAACCTCATTATATCCTATCAAAAGACACTCACAACCAAAACTTATAATATGTGCTCCTGAATGAAACTTATATCTGCATTTAATCTCCTTAAAAAACACATTCCCACACCATACTTTTTACCCAGCTTCAGGGCTTACATAATCGTTACAACCTTGAATTGTGAAGTAAAGGCGGCTTGCCCCTCCGCACTTGGAAGGGTACCCACGTGATTGGCTGCTGACTAGAGGCCACGTTTGGCACCCTGTCTGTCCACTCCCCAACCCCCCCCTATTCCTATTGAAACTTCAGTATTTCCAGTAATGCTACACACTCTCAGGGAGGTCAACTGGCCTCCCAGATTCTTTCCAGGTATACTGCCTGGTGGTTAAGGACGTCCATTCCATATCCGACGTCCAGTGTATCTTTTGCATGAACTCCGTTTCCACATGTAACATCTCCTTCCGTGAACTCTCTGTGCAACCTCAGCCACTACCGTGTGCACCTTGCCTCATGACACCGGTCTCCACGGTCCCGATGCTTCTGTTGTCTCTCCAATGAAGCGTTCACGTGGCCTCATGCTTCCAGGCATCCCTCCACAACTCACGCAGGGAAGCGTATTCAAAACCTATCCAGCACTTCCATCTGTTGCATTAAGGCTCACCTCATTGCTCGTAGTCGACGGTCTGCTCAGGCCCCGTGCCCACTGGTAACATAACACATGGTCCATCCTCGCACTCTGCTATTATCCATTTCTCACTCCAATGCACGTTGGCTGCCTTTTGGCCGCACCTGTATCCGGCACCACAGGACCCAACTGCTGATCCACCGGTGTTGGCATCTGTTCCCTCCATCCTGGTTTCCTACGGCATTAGGCTGCCATATGGTCAAATGATCTGCACAGCCTACATGTCCTTCTCTGTCACGCATAGTATACATAGTCCTGCATTCGGAACTCTTCCAATAAAACATATGAAGGTATTGATTGCCGTAACGTCATCTTCAGAATGAAGGATCCCTCTGGCAGTCCCACATAAGGCCCATTCTTCCACACTCCCAATTCCTCAGCATGAATCTTGCCATAACGACGGAATACCACTACCACATCATACTCTGAAGCTTCAAAGGGCACATTTCTGACTTTTACATATGTCACATACCTGGATACATCATGTAGACATACCTCCACTGCTGTATTCACGGCCATCCTCTTCTCTTGGTACGTGTCAACTATGCTTGGGTAAAATCCAGCATTTATGAATTTGATGAAAATCCTCGTAACTCCGTTAACAGCCACACCATAAAGCTCTTCATTGGGTATCCCATACACATCACGAATAATCATAGGGAGTATCACCTGTATTGTAGAACTGCTTAGGGTACCACATACCAGCTCCACACAGACAGTATTCACATGGCGACCATGTCTATTCGCCATTTTGATTGCTCAAAACAGGAAAACTGCGCAGATAACCAACTGAATCAGGAGCGTCTGCACAGCAGGTCCACATGGCCCGAGAGCGATAAGGACAATGGGGAAATATATTGTTCCAAATTAACCTTAAATTGTTTATTCCTAGAGTATGTGTTGACCTAGCTACCGATCTTTATGTCTTCAATGGTTGGAAGGATTAAGCTGAGCACTTCGCCTCAGACATAGTCCCTGGCCGCTCCCATCTACAATTATTATTACGACCTGTGGTCGTGACGGGGAGGGGGGTGTTTCCCCTGGTCAACTTCCACATTACGTACTTTAAACAATTATCACTTAATATCGTATTGCAAACTTATTAGTAGCTAAAATAAGGAAGTCTGAATATATAATATTATATGGGGCCTCATATAATTTTACCAAATGGAATCATGTAAAATTAATGTACATAGTAAAATCATTTGATGTATTAGGTTATGTGTAACAGTGTGAGATGTGAAGCACTTGTGTAACAACTAGTCTCTGGTTAACCCGAGGTGCCTTAGTGTATGTCACGTGACCTATCTTATGTCAGGTACCCCCCATCCTCACTACTGGCAGTAGCACCTCATCTTATGTCAGGTACCCCCCATCCTCACTACTGGCAGTAGCACCTCATCTTATGTCAGGTACCCCCCATCCTCACTACTGGCAGTAGCACCTCATCTTATGTCAGGTACCCCCCATCCTCACTACTGGCAGTAGCACCTCATCTTATGTCAGGCCCCCCCATCCTTACTACTGGCCGTAGCACCTCATCTTATGTCAGGTACCCCCCATCCTCACTACTGGCGTAGCACCTCATCTTATGTCAGGTACCCCCCATCCTCACAAATGGCAGTAGCACCTCATCTTACGTCAGGTACCCCATCCTCACTACTGGCAGGAACACCTAATCTTATGTCAGGTACCCCCATCCTCACTACTGGCAGTAGCCCCTCATCTTATGTCAGGTACCCCCATCCTCACTACTGGCAGTAGCACCTCATCTTATGTCGGGTACCCCCATCCTCACTACTGGCAGCAGCACCTCATCTTATGTCAGGTACCCCCCATCCTCAGTACTGGCAGTAGCACCTCATCTTACGTCAGGTACCCCCAATCCTCACTACTGGCAGCAGCACCTCCTCTTATGTCAGGTACCCCCCATCCTAAATTACTGGCGTAGCACCTCATCTTATCAGGTACCCCCCATCCTCACTACTGGCAGTAGCACCTCATCTTATGTCAGGTACCCCCCATCCTCACTACTGGCAGTAGCACCTCATCTTATGTCAGGTACCCCCTATCCTCACTACTGGCAGTAGCACCTCATCTTATGTCAGGTACCCCCCATCCTCACTACTGGCAGTAGCAGCCTCACTTTATGTCAGGTACCCCCATCCTCACTACTGGCAGTAGCACCTCATCTTATTGTCAGGTACCCCCATCCTCACTACTGGCAGTAGCCCTCATCTTATGTCAGGTACTCCCCATCCTCACTACTGGCAGTAGCACCTCATCTTATGTCAGGTACCCCCCATCCATACTACTGGCAGTAGCACCTCATCTTATGTCAGGTACCCCCCATCCTCACTACTGGCAGTAAAATCTCATCTTATGTCAGGTACCCCCATCCTCACTATTGGCATGTAGCACCTCATCTTATGTCAGGTACCCCCCCATCCTCACTACTGGCAGTAGCACCTCATCTTATGTCAGGTACACCCCATCCTCACTACTGGCAGTAACACCTCATCTTATGTCAGGTACCCCCCACCCTTCACTACTGGCAGTAGCACCTCATCTTATGTCAGGTACCCCCTTTCATCACTACTGGCAGTAGCACCTCATCTTATGTCAGGTACCCCCATCCTCACTACTGGCAGTAACACCTCATCTTATGTCAGGTACCCCCATCATCACTACTGGCAGTAGCACCACATCTTATGTCAGGTACCCCCTCCTTACTACTGGCAGTAGACCTCTCTTAGTCAGGTACCCCATCCTTACTACTGGCACAGCACCTCATCTTATGTCAGGTACCCCCCATCCTCACTACTGGCAGTAGCACCTCATCTTATGTCAGGTACCCCCATCCTTACTACTGGCAGTAGCACCTCATTTATGTCAGGTACCCCCCATCTCACTACTGGCTGTAGCACCTATCTTATGTCAGGTACCCCCATCCTCACTACTGGCAGTAACACCTCATCTTATGTCAGGTACCCCCCCATCCTCACTACTGGCAGTAGCACCACATCTTATGTCAGGTACCCCCCATCCTCACTACTGGCAGTAGCACCTCATCTTATGTCAGGTACCACCCATCCTCACTACTGGCAGTAACACCTCATCTTATGTCAGGTACCCCCCATCCTTACTACTGGCAGTAGCACCTCATCTTATGTCAGGTACTCCACATCCTCACTACTGGCAGTAACACCTCATCTTATGTCAGGTACCCCCCCTCATTCACTACTGGCAGTAGCACCACATCTTATGTCAGGTACCCCCCATCCTTACTACTGGCAGTAGCACTCATCTTTATGTCAGGTACCCCCCATCCTTACTACTGGCAGCAGCACCTCATCTTATGTCAGGTACCCCCCATCCTCACTACTGGCAGTAGCACCTCATCTTATGTCAGGTACCACCCATCCTCACTACTGGCAGTAACACCTCATCTTATGTCAGGTACCCCCCATCCTTACTACTGGCAGTAGCACCTAATCTTATGTCAGGTACCCCACATCCTTACTACTGGCAGCAGCACCTCATCTTATGTCAGGTACCCCCCATCCTCACTACTGGCAGTAGCACCTCATCTTATGTCAGGTACCCCCCATCCTTACTACTGGCAGTAGCACCTCATCTTATGTCAGGTACCCCCCATCCTCACTACTGGCAGTAGCACCTCATCTTATGTCAGGTACCCCCCATCCTCACTACTGGCAGTAACACCTCATCTTATGTCAGGTACCCCCCATCCTTACTACTGGCAGTAGCACCTCATCTTATGTCAGGTACCCCCCATCCTTACTACTGGCAGTAGCACCTCATCTTATGTCAGGTACCCCCCATCCTTACTACTGGCAGTAACACCTCATCTTATGTCAGGTACCCCCACCCTCACTACTGGCAGCAGCACCTCGTCTTATGTCAGGTACCCCCCATCCTCACTACTGGCAGTAACACCTCATCTTATGTCAGGTACCCCCCACCCTCACTACTGGCAGCAGCACCTCATCTTATGTCAGGTACCCCCCACCCTCACTACTGGCAGTAGCACCTCATCTTATGTCAGGTACCCCCCATCCTCACTACTGGCAGTAGCACCTCATCTTATGTCAGGTACCCCCATCCTTACTACTGGCAGTAGCACCTTATCTTATGTCAGGTACCCCCACCCTCACTACTGGCAGCAGCACCTCATCTTATGTCAGGTACCCCCCATCCTCACTACTGGCAGTAGCACCTCATCTTATGTCAGGTACCCCCCATCCTCACTACTGGCAGTAACACCTCATCTTATGTCAGGTACCCCCCCATCCTCACTACTGGCAGTAGCACCACATCTTATGTCAGGTACCCCCCATCCTTACTACTGGCAGTAGCACCTCATCTTATGTCAGGTACCCCCCATCCTTACTACTGGCAGCAGCACCTCATCTTATGTCAGGTACCCCCCATCCTCACTACTGGCAGTAGCACCTCATCTTATGTCAGGTACCACCCATCCTCACTACTGGCAGTAACACCTCATCTTATGTCAGGTACCCCCCATCCTTACTACTGGCAGTAGCACCTAATCTTATGTCAGGTACCCCACATCTTTACTACTGGCAGCAGCACCTCATCTTATGTCAGGTACCCCCCATCCTCACTACTGGCAGTAGCAGCTCATCTTATGTCTGGTACCCCCCATCCTCACTACTGGCAGTAACACCTCATCTTATGTCAGGTACCCCCCATCCTTACTACTGGCAGTAGCACCTCATCTTATGTCAGGTACCCCCCATCCTTACTACTGGCAGTAGCACCTCATCTTATGTCAGGTACCCCCCATCCTTACTACTGGCAGTAGCACCTCATCTTATGTCATGTACCCCCCATCCTTACTACTGGCAGTAGCACCTCATCTTATGTCAGGTACCCCCCATCCTTACTACTGGCAGTAGCACCTCATCTTATGTCAGGTACCCCCATCCTCACTACTGGCAGTAACACCTCATCTTATGTCAGGTACCCCCACCCTCACTACTGGCAGCAGCACCTCGTCTTATGTCAGGTACCCCCATCCTCACTACTGGCAGTAACACCTCATCTTTATGTCAGGTACCCCCCACCCTCACTACTGGCAGCAGCACCTCATCTTTTGTCAGGTACCCCCCACCCTCACTACTTGCAGTA